AAATGAAACTGCCCAACAGAATGGCAAATTGTCTAAAAGTATGCAATACGAAGGTTGTCAACCCTCTAGGGGTCACAATTTTTGTCCGATTCTGATGAAACTTAAATCATATCTTTATATCCCAAAGATCTCAGTCCCTTTTGATATTTGCGCATTTCAGACCATAACTCTCTGGATTATTGCCCCTGATTGTACAAAAAATCCTGTTTGTTTTTAGCTTGTTCTCTATCCATCTCTTGCAAAATGTTGGTGTACCTTGCCTGGCAGTCGCTGGTTTAGCTTGTGGTCCCTCTGGAGGTCACAATTATTATCCGACTTAAAAAAAAACGTTTGATTATATCACCGTTACACTGTAGGGAAGGTTTAGTTATAATTTTGTGAAAAACGGGAAAAAAAATTGCCGGACAAAATGACCGCCGTTTGTACGCGAATAGTGTAAAAATATGGTATTACAAGGTTGTGGACCCTGTAGAGGTCCAGGGCTTGCCACGAGCAAATTGGAGGCGAGTAGATGACTACTCACGCAAATATGACTTGCGCAAGTGAGGCGAGTACATGTATTTACTCAACGCAGAATAATGTGCGTGAGTAGTCATTTCCCTTTGCCATCGTTGGCGTGCTGAGGGGATTCGGGTAAAGCTTAGAAAGGTAAAAGAACAGGCACAACAATTTCAATCCCATCAATTTGCAGAAAAGATGCGGGATCGAAAGAATAGCTATAGAAACGACAATATTCGCTCAATTTTTTATTATCCAGACACGGCAAAGGACATCCGCTTAAAAACCGCCTGGCAGTACGCGTCTCAAAGTATTTTTAGTAATAACAGGTGGCACTGGAAAGACACGCCGCGTGCGCAATAGTGCATCAATATGAAGGCATATAAATTGTTTACGGCTTTTTTTATTACGATATTCCATTATTTCTGATTAAATTATTTTTTATATTTGCGCGAATACTTAATCACTCACGTAAATTTGGTTTTACGCGAGCGTAGCGTGTGCGCGAGTAATTACTCGCGTCTCGTGGCAAGCCCTGAGGTCACAATTTTAATTCGATTTTGATGAAACTTGAAATGCTTTTTTATAACCTAAAGATCTGGGTTCCTTTCGATATTTGCGCATATCTGATCGTAACTTCCTTAATTCTGGCACCTGATTGTCCGAAAAATCACCTTTTTTAGCTTGTGGTCCCTCTGGAGGTCACAATTATTATCCGATTAAAAAAACGTTTGATTACATCCCCGTTACACCGTAAGGAAGGTTGAGTTCGAATTTCCTGAAAATCGGACCAAAATTGCCTGACAAAATGGCCGCCACTTGTATGCGAATAGTGTAAAAATATGGTATATCAAGGTTGTGGACCCTGTAGAGGTCACAATTTTATTTTGATTTTGATGAAACTTGAAATGCATGTTTATAACCTAAAGATCTTGGTTCCTTTCGATATTTGTGCATATCGGATCGTAACTTCCTGAGTGAATTATGGCCCCTGATTGTATGAAAAATCGCCTTTATGGTCCCTCTGGAGGTCACAATTATTGCCTGATTTGAAAAAACGTTTGTTTATATCACCGTTACACTGTAATGAAGGTTTAGTTCGAATTTCGTGTAAATCGGACCAAAACTGACAGACAAAATGGTATATCAAGGTTGTGGACCCTATATAGGTCATAATTTTTATCCGATTTTGTTGAAACTTGAAATGGAAGTTTATAACCCAAAGATCTTGGTTCCTTTTCATATTCGCGCGGGGGGTTGGATGGCTGAATGGTTAGCGTGCGCGCGCTGTATCATAAAGTTTGTCATTGAGTCGACTGGCGTGGTTTCGAATCCCAGGTTGTACGTGACAAGGAGTAGGGTCACCTGTCCAACCTCGTTGGTTTTCTCCGGGTCCTCCGGTTTCCTCCCACTGCTAAAGACCCCTATGCGCAAGCGAATTTTTAAAAAAAACATATGTTAGTCCCGAAATGACCTAGTTTGTGTCGAGTGGACATTAAACCCCAGTTCTCTCTCTCTCTCTCTCTCTCTCTCTCTCTCTCTCTCATATTCGCGCATATCGAATTGTAACTTCCTGAATTATGGTCCCTGATTGTACTAAAAATCTCATTTTTAGTTTGTGGACCCTATAGAGGTCATAATTTTTATCCAATTTCATCCCAAAACTGATAGACAAAATGGCCGCCCTTCGTTCTCAAATAGCGTAAAACTATGGTATATCAAGGTTGTGGACCCTAGAGAGGTCACAATTTTTATCCGATTTTGTTGAAACTTGAAATGTAAGTTTATAACCAAAAGATCTCGGTTCCTTTCGATATTCGCGCATATCGCACCATAACTACCTGAATTATAGCCCCTGATTGTACGAAAAATCATGTTTATAGCTTGTGGACCCTATAGCAGTCATAATTTTAATCCGATTTAAAAAAAAGTTTGAATATATCACCGTTACAACCTAAGGATGGTTGAGTTCGAATTTCGTAAAGATAGGTTGCCAGGCAATAAAACATACGCCCACAGCAGCTAAATCGTCTGGGCAGTCAATTTTTACTTTTTTCGGTAATGAAATATATATGATACATTAAAATCTGATTAAGAGTAACAACTCATTAAGTAATTATCAGAAAACCATTAGAGTTTGTTTGGCTTTTATAAAGTTCTGCCCCATGCTAACGTTTACTATACAACACTTTTAACATCAATGTGGGCGTATAAAAATCAACCCAAACCTGACAGACAAAATGGCCGCCCCACGTACTCAATCAGCGTAAAAATATGGTATATCAATGTTGTGGACCCTCTAGAGGTCACAATTTTCTTTTAATTTTGATGAAACTTGAAATGTAATTTTATAACCCACAGATCTTGGTTCCTTTCAATATTCACACATATCGGATAGTAACTTCCTGAATTATGGCGCATTTCAGACCATAACTTTCTGGATTATGGCCATTGATTGTACAAAAAATCTTGTTTGTTTTTAGCTTGTTCTCTATCCATCTCTTGCAAAATGTGGGCGTATCCTGCCTGGCAGCCGCTGGTACACTATTTACGTACAAGGATCGAGCGGCCATTCTGTCGGGCAGTTTCGATACGATTTTTACGAAATTCAAACTCAACCATCATTATGCATTATGGTGTAACGGTGATATATTTAACCATTTTTTTTAAAATTTGATAGAAATTGACGGTCTACTCGTATTTCGAATTAAAACTGCCAAGGGTTCCTTTTGTTGCATGACAATGTGTACATGGGACAGCAATTCTGATGGCTGAACATTGTACCTTGCCAGGTCCTCCAATCTGCACCAGGGACATTAGGAAAACAGGAGGAACTGTCTCAGGCAAGACAGGTAGCGAAACTCCTGGTTAGCGAGGCAGCCCCCTACCCACTGAGCCACCACGATTAATAATCGAACAAAAACAATAATTTTTATACTACATAGTATAAAGATAGGTTGCCAGGCAACGAAATATACGCCCACAGCAGCTGTAGGTAATTGGGGGCCTTTCGTTTGAGGGTTCACAAGGTTCTACAAACTGAAACAAGGTTCTCAACTCTGGAAGTTATCTACAGAAATTGTTGAAATTTGACAGGCTTTTTCGTTTTACTAATTTAAATAATTCATATAAATTTCATACAGATCAGATGATCACTTTTGTCATTCAAACGTTCACAACGTTCACAATCGCCATAACTGTAGAAATTATTGACAGAAATTGCTGAAATTCAATAGACCTCTGTTTCACAAATTTAAATGATGCATATAAATTTCATACATATCAGATGATTACTTTCATCAATCATGCATTAACAAGGTTGAACAAAGTGAAACAAGGGCCATAACTCTAGAAGTAATTATTGTAAATTGCTGAAATTCAATAGGCTTTGTGGTTTCACTAATTTAAATAATGCATATCAATTTCACAAAGATCGGATGATAACTTTCTGGGTTAGAAAAGGAATGAAATGAAATGGGGTTTAACGTCCTACTGTTCTGCTCCGAACTGGGCTAATGAAGACGGCATACGCCATACAGTGTGCTATGAGGGAATTTTTGCCCGGACAGCGGCACTACAGCCTACTCTTATATCGAATTCCAACTGTCAAGGGATCTTTTACGTTCACGCCAATGTGTACACGGGACCTCAGTTTTTCGTCCCATCCAAACAACTAGCTAGACAGCTGTCCTTGTCAGGCCCTCCGTCCTGCATCACTGACAAGGGGGAACCACGCCGGAAAATCTGGATGAACTTTCTCGGCCAATGCAGGGATCGAACACCCGACCTTCTTACCCACTTAGCCACGTGATCCCCTTCGGGGTTAGAGCGTTCACAAGGTTCAATAAAGTGAAACAAGGGCTATAACTCTACACGTAGTAAACAGAAATTGCTGAAATTCAATAGGCTTCTTCGTTTCACTAATTTAAATAATGCATATAAATTTCACAAAGATCGGATGATAACTTTTGGCGTAATAGCGTTCACAAGGTTCAACAAAGTGAAACAAAGGCCGTAACTCTAGCCGTAATGAACAGAAATTATTGAAATTAAATAGCCTTCTTCATCTCACTAATAATGTAAACCACATATATCAATTTTAAAACAATCGGATAATAACTTTTGGAGTTAAAGCGTTCACAAGAAAAACTAATAATAATAAGAATAATTGGAACAAAAACAATAGTGTTTCACACAAGCTACGCAGTGTGAAACCTTAATCATATACACACTGATATTTATAACAGCTCTAGCTTGTTATATACAGCACAAGAGATATACATGATATACAATGTACATAGTTACATGATACATATACCACCATCTTCAATAGAAGGCTTGATATCGCCTAACTACGTACATTTGTAAAACTCATGGTCGTTGCTTCAGGAACATGATATACCACCTGTTATACATGCACAGCTCTATCCAATTACAACATGATAAATATATTACGATTTATTAGCAAATTATATATAACATGATATATGTAGATATATTACCTGATATACAGCTCTTGCAAGAGCTATCCTAGCTTTCTGTCCACCACTTAATGTTACACCATTTTCACCTATTTCTGTTTTGTCACCAGCAGGCAACATCTGCAATAATTATATTATCTTATATTTCACTGCCTGTAAATGTACATGACTGTAAACACTAAAATCATAATCCTTCCTGCCTTATTCAAATAACATTTAAAAGATAAGTTGCCATCAAATTCAGTTAAGACATTCACCTCATCAACAACTACACCATGCTTGAACATTCTACCCCAATTAGAAGCAGTAACTCCAGCTGGGTAAGTTTTAAAAAATCCCAAAAGTTGCCCTGTGTACTAGGAGGGGCTTATGACTGGCAAAAATGTATCTTACGAAGCTCGCCTATATGTAGAATGAGGGCAAACCCGACCAAAAATTATTATCTTGGGACTTATATAAGCAAAAATGTAGGTTCAAGCTCGCCAAAACCAAAGGCCCCCTCGATCCCATCGAACCAATCGCGTCCCGACCATCAGTTTAAATAAATGCAAAGAAAAATCCAGCCCTTTTCACCAGACACAAAACCTCCAACTGTGGGTTTATTCAGAAGAAGCAGGGGTTCGTATACTGGATGCTCAATGGTTTGCCCCAAACATCAATTCAGAGAAAACATAAAAATGAAATGAACTAGAACGGCGAAGCAGTAATGACGGGTTTCACCGGTACCACGTTACCCTTGAACTTATGTTACTTCCGGTGCCACGGTATCGTAGAACTTCTGTCACTTCCGGTATCAATGAAACCGTTTAACGATTTCCACATAAACATTGGACAAATAGACGCAGAATTAATCAAATCTAGCCATATCAATTGCATCTATACATTTGTTACCATGTGTTACATATGTCAAAAAAAGTAATCCTGACAAAATTTGTTACTAACTTACCGATAAGTTAGCTAACTTTCTAATGGGAAATTAAAATGGGAAAAAAATCTGTAAAAGTCATACTGTCAAAATTGGTTATTTCTCGACAAGGGAAGATGCTAGAAGCCATTTTTGGACATCTATATGATCGTATTGATACAATCTATATGTCCATTGGAATCAAATATCATAATATTAAACGAATAATAAATATACTATTCAAAAAAAGTAGGGGATATTTGATTTTGGGGGCATAATACTAAAATATGCAAATGACTACGAAAAAAGTCACTATAGACACCTAACAGAAGAAACATTTCCAGTTACATGTGACGCCCAAACGCACCAATAGCTACCGCATGGAATGCAGGTGATGCTTGGGATCATCATGGGGGTCCAACCCAAGATTTGCACGACTCTGACTTTGAATGTTACAGTCATTGTGGCATTGAATTTCAGGGTGGAAACATCAGTTTAATTGTTTTAGTGACCAGAAAACAAATTTTGATATGCGTCGGCTTACCCAAAATGAAAGGTTACGTGCCCTTGGCATGCTACAGATCGGCACAACACAGGCGGTTGTGGCGCGGACGATGAATGTCTCTCAGTCTGTCATAAGCAGGCTATGGTCCAGATACCGTGATACACAATCTGTACAGGACAGACCACGCTCAGGTCGACCAAGGGCGACAACTCAAGCCCAGGATCGATTTATCCGTACCTTGGCCTTGAGAAATCGTGTCATCACAGCAAATCAGATCAGCGCTCGTCTTCAAACAGACACTGGTGTGAGAGTGAGTGGCCAGACGATTCGGAATCGACTGCATAGGGGTCACCTTCGCGCCCGACGTCCTCGCGTGATCCCTTGTTTGAGAGATCATCACATTCAGGCAAGACGTCGTTGGTGTAGGGATCGTCAACACTGGGATAATCGACGCTGGAGCAATGTGATGTTTTCAGATGAGTCAAGGTTCACTGTTGATTTTTTGGACAGACGTAGGAGGGTGTGGCGTCGTCGAAACGAGCGCTTCCAAGACGTTAACGTCATCAGACATGATTGATTTGGGGGTGGTTCTGTTATGGTGTGGGGAGGCATCACTGTTGCTGGAAGAACGGCTTTACATGTTGTTGCAGGGCGTGTTACAGGCCAGTACTACCGGGACAACATCTTGGCAGTCCATGTTGTGCCGTTCGCACGACGTCATGGCCGCCGTTTCATCTTCCAGGATGACAACGCAAGATGTCACAGGGCCAGGATCGTTACAGGTTACCTCCAACAACAGAACATCACCACATTACCTTGGCCAGCACTGAGTCCCGACCTCTCCCCCATCGAGCATGTCTGGGACATGCTTGGACAGAGGTTACGTCAACGTCAACAACGTCCTGCCAATGTCCAAGAACTTGCTGCTGCGTTGCAACAGGAATGGGACAATCTGGACCAAAATGACCTTAGACGTCTCATTAGGAGTATGCCACGTCGGATCAATGCTTGTTTGGCAAACAGAGGAGGATTTACCCGTTACTGACTTGGTTGTGATGCTGTGGTAACTTTGCTGTTTGACCCCGGGTATCATTTTACCCTTATAATGGTCAGTCTGTGCCTTACTTAGTCTAACGATCATTTGGAATAAATCGATGAATGTGAACTTCATTTCATTTTGTCATTTGTTTCTTCGTCAGTTTCATTAGGTGACTTTAATAACACTTAAAAATCAAATATCCCCTACTTTTTTTGAATAGTATATAACTCACTTCAAAAAAATATTTGTTTTGAAAGCTAAAAATACAGTTTTTGCCCAAATGACATTACTTCCGGAGATAATGAAAATGTTAAATTAGTTCTATGAAATCATAAATGGCATAAGGCATCACAAGGTGAAAATTTTATGAAAATCGATTAATAATTTACACTTTTATAGACCAAATACCTTGATAAGTGACTTGAAAAAAAACGTCTATTTCTCTGCAACTGTACAAGTTAGAAACGTTTTTGTGGTATCTGTATATCGTATGGGTTAATTCTATTTGTTGATTGGAATCAAATATCATAATGTTAAAAAGTTAAGTTAATATGTTTTTTTAAGTCGGATAAAAATTATGACCTCTATAGGGTCCACAAGCTAAAAACACGATTTTACATACAATCAGGGGCCATAATTCAGGAAGTTACGGTCCGATATGCGCGAATATCGAAAGGAACTGAGATCTTTGGGTTATAAACTTACATTTCAAGTTTCAACAAAATCGGATAAAAATTGTGACCTCTATAGGGTCCACAAGCTAAAAACGTGATTTTTCGTACAAACAGGGGCCATAATCCATGAAGTTTCGATCTGGACAGGGGCGACGACAATATACGTCCACATGAAAATGTGGGCGTATAAAAATGAAGTCCGATGATTTGTGCGCCTTTGCATGGCGCATCCTTTTGGTAATATCAAATTTTGAAAACATAACATTTGCTTTCAAAAAGTGGTACCAAACTGTAAAAATTGTAGTTTTTGGTAAAATCATGTCACTCCCTTTGCCGACAAGAAACTTTAACGGTAACAAAGAAAATGAAATTTCGGGAAACGGACCTTATGAACTTTCTATTATACATATCGAACAATAAATAATTAATCTAGGATCGAAAAACTGAATTAGCCAATGGCGGCTAACCCGAATTACTGCAACAAGAATTGTTTACATTTTTGCTCAAGTCAGATGACCATTTAATCCTGTGTAAAATACCATCAAAAAATATTCATTAATAAAAGAGTTTTTTGTAAAAATTTAAATTTTCAAAATTTCTCGCCTAATGTACATTGTAAGCGAAGATTCGTCGAAAATCAAAAATCTGAAGTACCGTAGCTATTTGCCCTGTCTCCGGCTATGTCAAAATGTACCAAATGTTAAAATTCATCTATTATTGTAAATATTACGGCGACATTTAAAAAGATAGGTTGCCAGGCAACGAAACATACGCCCACAGCAGCTAAATCGTCCGGGCAATCAACAAGAGTTGTCGCATATTTTTACTTTTTTCGGTAATGAAACATTTATAATACACTAAAATCTGATTAAGAGCAACAACTCAGAAAACCATTAGAATTTGTTTGGTTTTTATAAAGTTCTGCCCCATGCTTACGTTTTGTATACAAAACTTTTAAAGGGGAAGACCAACGATTTTCAATAAGGTTTCCATAAATAATAAATATATATTTAGAAATAATCCCTCCTATAACATATGCAAAAAATAATTTGCAAGCGAGAAATTAATTTTTATTAATACCGGAAGTGACGTAGTTGGTTCGATATGCTCACTGGTCACTATAGTAAACATACAAATTTGGAGCAAGTTTAGCGCTGTATTTTGTGATCGTTTCGCTGTTTGGCAGAAAATCTGATGAAAGGTAATCTTTATTAGGATATTAAGAACAAGAACTTATGGTGTTTTGAAGGTATAATTAAGGTGTAAATTAAGTTTCTAAACTGGACACTGTGACACAATTTAAGCCACATGGCTAATTGTTTACATCACGTGATAGCTGGCACGTGACAGATATTAACCGAACACAAATTGGCGACCTATTCGGCTAGCGACCTATTCGACCGATCCAGCTGGCAATCTGTTCGTTGGCAACCTATTCAGAATGAGAGCGCACCCCTTTAATATGATTGTGCCAACTTTTACTAATAATATTTCGAAAGCTTATTTAATCAGCTTTCGGAATATATTTAGTTGGATGTCCAGAATTTTGTAAGATAATGCGAAATTACATCTCTATTCTGAGCTAAAGGAATGGATAAATGATAATATATTCTACTTTCATTTGATAGAAATGAAATGAAATGAAATGGGGTTTAACGTCCTACTGTTCTGCTCCTAACCTGGGCTAATGAAGACGGGCATACGCCATACAGTGTGCTATGAGGGAAATTTTGCCCGGGTTCATTTGATAGACGTTACGTTGGATTTTATTGGTTGATAAAAATAGATGAGTTTGGGCGACTGTTGAATTTATTCTGAACAGGTTGCCAGCTGGATCGGTTAATATCTGTCACGTGCCAGCTATCACGTGATGTAAACAATTAGCCATGTGGCTTAAATTGTGTCACAGTGTCCAGTTTAGAAACTTAATTTACACGAACGCGTTGTATATTATACCTTCAAAACACTGTACGTTCTTGTTCTTAATATCCTAATAAA